TTCACTATCTAAATGCAGAAAATTCTATGAATGACTATTTTCTCACGTCTCCCAAGGATGATGCATTAAACTGGTACCAGACAGATGCACAGGAGAGAAGTTAATCCATTACAGACAATGCCTTGGGGACTAAAGGCTCAACTCTGTGAGGAAACCTGGTTAGGAAGGATTATAATTTATCCATACACGTCTGTCTCCATAAGAGACAGTGAACTCCAGAAGACAACAGCATTACAGTGTCTGACACAGAACAGAACTCTGGTAAACATCTAAATCAAATAAATATGTTCAGTGGAGGCATGTAAACCTATAGTCTTCTTTTCTACAACTCTTGATAGCCTGAGCCTGATATCACTCCACTCAAATTCTTAGTAATGGACTATTTAATGACAGGTACTACATTAGTGCCTCCTTTTTTTCTCTTGGGGGGACGGGCATCACAGAATCCTCCAAGAGGCAAAATTACGTATCTTCTCAGAAAAATAAGTGTACATACACAAGATTGTATACATAATTTTAGGGGTTTGCATGCCATCATGGAAGTCTGTGACCTTCAGGTTAAGAACCCCTCTACTAAACTGTTAAAAAGTTAGACTTGAGCCCTGGATAGTTTGGCTCAGCGGTTGGAGCATTGGCCCTTAGACCAAAGGGTCTAAAGAGTCAGGGGCACGTACCTGGGTTGCAGGTTCAATCTCCAGCCCCAGTCAGGGTCATGTGGGAAGCAACCAGTTGATGTGTCTCTCTCACATCAATGTTTCTCTCTGTGTCTCTCTCCCTCTTTTCCTCTCTTCCAATCTATCTAAAAGAATCAATGGAGAAATATCCTTGAGTGAGGATTAACCAAAAAAAGTTAGACTTGAATTAATGTCAAAATCCTAACCACCCAAGTCTATTTATTTGGCAAAAATTGGGACAAAGAGGCCAAACAAACCCAGGTTTTAACCCACGTTTTATCATTTGCTAGCCATAAAACAATGGAAAATTCAGCCTTAGTTTCCTCATCTGTAAAATGGGTTAACAATAGTTGCTAATTCCCTGTTAATGTCAAAATGAGATGAGCAAATGTGACATGCTCAGCATAATGCCCCATACATAATAAATGCTCATAAGTGGAGGCCACTGTCACTTTCCTTTTAGACTACACACTCCACATTTACCTCCCATTCCCATTTTCATCTCCATTAAGAACTCTATTAGCAACTCCCATGAGATTTCAGAGAAAAAGACAAAATAAGAGCCCCTAAGAATTCATAAGATCACAATCCTAATGTGCCCCTCCACCCCCCATCAAATGCTTGATTTTAACCTACGAAGGCCCTTCTGACAAGACAGTCGGCAATCCCTTTCTGCATAAATCCAGGTCAGCTGTCAGCACACAATTGTTCTATTAGGCCAAGTCAATTTTGAGAGGCAGGCCTATTAAGTTAACTTAAAATGGAGATGAAAAGAACGTGTTTGATCAAATGCTAAACTGCAGAAACACACTGACAGGGAAACAAGGCAGAGAAATTAGTTTCCTAAAATTATTCTCTGTGATACCCTTTGTTAACATTGGATATTTAAGGACCTCACTCAGTCTTTCTAACCCACCACCAAGCTCTTCTCCCAACTCTCATAGCTAAAGGCACCAGATTAGTTCTTAAATGTTTTCAGCTCTTCTCTGCTTTCAAGACCATTCAACACTTAACCCAGGATCCAAAAAGGCAGATTTTAAAGTTATACAAAACCTATCATTCAGATTCCTTCTCTAAGTTAATTTTTCAAGCATTTCTAAATTTCTGACTTCAAGAAAATAAAGCAAGCATTTCCGCTTTAAAAGAATCTTTCATCTCTAGCAATGCAAATTTTCTTTGTTTAACCAATCCACATACCACTAGCTAGTGTTTTATTTAACATCACTAACCCTGTGAGTTGCACAGCCAAGTCTGCAAGTCTCAGATAATGATCTCATTAAGAGTAACAAATTGGTTCAAAGATGAAATATGTATCAATATGTCTAAGAACCCTGTAAAGCTCCACACTTCAGAACTACAGGAAAAGTATAATTAATTCCTCCAGCATTCACACTGTATGCCTGACACTCTTATAAGCAAATGGGCTTTGATGTTGCATGAATAAGATAATAAAACTAATTAACAGCATTTCATATCCACACATTGTTTTCACAATTTTCACAGATAAACATGTCCCCAAAAAAAAGCTCTCTGTTCTTTACAGAGCACAGTGTGACCTTGGGAAAGTTATTTAAGCCTAAAATGCACACAGAGAGAACCAAGAATCCTGTGACTAATCCCAAGGTTTGAATTACTTACTCTCTCTCAGACAGGAGCACACACACGCACACACTCTTAACCAGGCTTCCTCCTACCCTAAACCTTGCAAATGACTGAACAGGTACTCACCAGACTATGATAAAGTATCTGCTATAGAAATACCAGATACGCGCGTACACACACGCACACACACACACTTTCATTGTATGTAATAGGGAAGGAAACAAATCAGTAATACAAACCAATTTCCTATCTTAGTCTTCTTAAAGGAGAGACTCCCAGTTTTTTTCTCTCCTAAACCAGGAACAGTGCTACTGAACCCCATTGGAAATAGCAAACACAATGCTATATTACTATTTAGGTTTAGTTGTAGGAAAATGAACTCTGCTCTGAAGACTGGAAAGCAGTAAACAGAAAATCTGCAGGATTTTTCTTTTTAAGATAGGAAATAAAAGATTTGAAAAGTTCAACAAGGGCCCTTAGAAAACATGATTAATCTGAAGCTGAACACCAATTTGTTTCTCCTGCATTCTCATTTCTCATGAAAATGTTACATTCCCTCTCAGCAGTCCTAAAAGCATTACCTTTCCTTACAAAACCCTTTTTCAGGGCTGACAGAGGCCACACCAGTTTCTTAAATTGGACACTGTATTCGAAGAACTAATAAAAAGCATGCCAGCCTCTGTACACACACAACCCTGAAAGCCACATTGCACTCCTTCTGTGCACAGAGAGGCTCAGCGAGTAGGCTCCCACAATAAAGTTATTAAAGCCATAGAGTGAGAACACCAAGAAATGACTATTCAAACAGCTCAGATAAACTCACTAACATTACTGCAGTTATAAGGGAATTAAGGACATCTATTAGTGATTGCTTAACAGGTAAACTTATTAAATACCATTTAAGTCATTTTTCTTTACTTAGCAATTGTTGACTTAATTTTTTTTTTTTTTTTTGGCTAGGCTAATGGACTACAAAAGAGTTAGATAAGCACTTCAAAAAGTTTCAAAAGAGAATAGATTCCTTCTGCCAAATTCACACATTATCTCTCTATTCACAAGGATAAAATAGTTACAGATGGTGTGTTTAAACTGCTAATTTTGTATTAAATGGTGAACCCAAGATTATCACCAAAGCATAGCACTACTCATAATGGATGGCTCACCAAACTACCGTGGAGAAAGAGTACAACTTAAAACACTGCAGATAAAAATCGCAAACTTCAAAAGTCTCCTTCAAAAAATGAAGTACCACCTTAAAATATCTTTTCTCTTGAGAGGCCATAAATCAAACATTTCTAAAGCCATCAGGACACAGTGAAATCCTCAGAGAACCAGAGTCCCAAGTAGCAAGCTCTAAGATTCAAACTAGTCTTTAAGGCTGTGACTAAAATGTGTAGGAATCTTCAGCAGAGCATCATCTCTAAAGCTTATAAATTAAAAACCACAATGATAACATTATCAAAGAACAAGGTCCAAAGCCTTTAATATACGTAGTCACAGGATTCAAAAAACGTGTTTCCCCTTCTATCTACCCCACAGTTTAAGATGGGAATAAGAGCCCTGTAAGGCAATGCTGCTAATTAGTCGTCCAGCAAAGGTGCCTCCCCCAGCTTTGTAAAGACACACCTCTAAGGAACCGAGCAGGGCTTTGAGTCTGCACCAGAGGAGGGGAAAGGAAAAGTCTGCTATGCAGTCATTCCATACAATCCCCTTCTTCTTCATTCATAACTCATCCAAGAGCAAAGCGCAGAAGGCCCAAAGCTTGGGCCCTGCAGCAATGGTCATCACCCGAAAAGGTTCAAAAACAAGCCAACCATTTCAAATCGCCCCCATCTGAGGCATGCATATTAACCACCATATAAGCACGCGGGCCATCCACTAGCAAGGTGATAAAATCATAGCCAAGAAAGCGGGAAGGCATCGCTACCCAGCTCACCAACCGCGAGGCTTGAGCTCACATTGAAGCTCTCTCCGGCCAGCTCGCTTTGAAATGCAGACCTCTCTCGCTTGGAGCAAGGTGAAGAAGGCCCTGTCAGTGAGCGACCCCGTCTCCCGCTTCCCAAGTCTTCCTTACAAGTCCTTGGCCCGGGAGCGGGGAGGCAGTCTCCCTCCCACCCTCTGTAATCGGAGGCACGCAGAGAGGGCTGCCTTCCACGGCCACTCCAGGGCACTCCTCCTCAGCCCGTCCACCCTGCTCCCCTGCCTGCTGCTGCTCGCCCGGAGTCCTGCAGAAGGATCAGCACCCAGGTGAGGCGGGCGGCAGGTTCCGGGAGTAACCTGACTGTACAGCCCCTCCGACAAACCTGGCTGCTCTCAAAACGAGCATGCATGGAGGAAAGCGAAGCCTGCTACCTGAAACAAGCCATCCCATCCTTCGTCACTCATCTTTCCAAAGTTGGCATTCAACAGGTAGTTCCCGGGACTTCCACCTGAGGTAAAGCAAAATGCCCGATCCGCCCAACGGGGCCCGCCCCAACGTGGGTGCCCAGACCCTGGATTCTCCTCGCTGCCCCGGGACTCACAGGAGGCCGAGCCCCCACGTGCGCTTGCCCCCCGCTTCGGCGCCCCGGAGGCCGCGTCCAGCCTGCCCTCCCGCCCGGGAGGGATGCCGCTGGCCTCCTCGCCGCCCCTCCCGCCCGCCAGCCCGCGGCGGGGTCGGCGGGCGCAGCCCCCGGAGCCATCTTGTGGCGGCGGCGGCGCGGGGCCCGGGTGGCGGGCAGCTACCTGCACGATCTCGCCCTCCGCGCTGAGCGTGGCCCCGGCCCGCGAGAAGCGGCCCGTGAGGCCGGTGGTGTAGGTGGTGTAGTCGCCGCTCGGGCTCGACTCGAACAGCACCACCTCCACGAACGCCGTCTCCTTGGCCCGCGCCGAGCCGGGCCCCGCGGCCGCCAGCAGCAACCCGAGCAGCAGCGGCAGCGGCGGCGGCGGCGGCAGGCGGTGGCCGCGGGGGCCGCGGGGACCGCGGGGTCGGCGGCGGAGGCGGCGGCGGCGGCGGCCCGGGGCCCCTGGGCGCCCGCCCGAGCGCGGCCTCATGGTCCTGCGGCGGGAGGGCGCGGAGGGCGGGCGCGGCCGGGCATAGTCGCGGGCCGGCGGAGGACAGAGTGCAGGCGGACGCCTCACAGCCCCATCGCGGCGGCGGCGGCGGCTGCGGCGGCTTTGTGGGTCGCAGGCTCGGCTTGGCTCCCCCGGCCGTCGCGCCGCGGCCCTTTCATCTGCTCCACGTGAGGGGTTATCCCCGCCCCAAAAGCGTCGTGACCCGCTCTCCCCTCCCTCCTCGCGCTCGACCGCCGCGGCCTCCCGGGGGAGCGAGAAGGCGGGGCGGGCGCGCCTGCGGGGGGCGGGGCCCGACAGCCCGGCACGCCCCCACCCTCGCCCCGCCCCGGCCTGCGCTCCGCCCCCTCTCCCAGCTCCGCCCCCGACTGCACTCCACCCTATTGTTCTTGCCCCGCCCATCGCCCACCGTCTTGCTCCGCCCTTCGTTCTCGCTCCGCCCCTGTCGTTTCTACCCCGCCCCTCGCTCCGCCTCCACGCTCACGCTCCGCCCCTTCACTCCCGCTAGAGTTCTGCGCGCTTAGTCTTCCACCAGGGACGTTTCTCTTAGCTGTTGCCAGAGTTTGGCGGGGATGGGGATTGCATCCTGCTATGGAGCGATATGCATCCTCTCTGGGGGCCCCACGCCTCCTGGTCCTGTACAGGAATGAGGAGGGTCCTGTCTTTCCCTGCTCCCCCTGCTCTCCTGCCCGGGAGCAGGGCGCCCGCACCCGACCCTCCACTCTCACCACCACCTCCAGGATGAAATGGGAAAGGCCCTGGTGGTCAGGGGCCGATGGTAGCTTGGCCATGCTGCGACTTGTCCAGCTCTTGCACCGGTGTCGCTTAGTTACTCTCAACGGTGTTTGGGTAGGACTGGACAGTTAGCTTTGGATTTTAATGGAGTTCATTTTTATGCAGCCCCAGAGACTGTGACTCAAACACCCTTCTCAAGAGAGAAGTTCTGAAACTTTGAGTTTCACTGTGTGCAGAAGACCAGAAGATTCCAACACCATCACCCCTTATGCACAGATTGATGGCTGCCAAGTTAATGTACCGAAGACATGTGCAACAGGGCCTAAGGATTCCCAGTCACCCAGAAGATAAACTTTTAATTCCCTGCCCCTCTTAGGAACATGTCATTTCCTTCCTCATCTAGTCCTCCCTGAGAATGGAACCCTCCTTTAAATTCAGATGCAATTCCCACTTCCTCTGTGGAGTCTTCGTTCACCCAGCAGAATGGCTTTGTCCAGATATATGCAAATATTTGATTAGGATGATCTGCTTCTACTTGCTACCACACCCAAAATATTAAAAAAGACCAAAAAGAAAAAAGAAAGAAACTAATTGAGAATCTGTCTTGGGTAAACAACTTACCAAGGCTTGCATTTTAAAGTAGAAGAAAAAAAAAAGATGTTCAAAACATGAAATAGAAAATACACTTGAAAAGAACCCACAGATCTACATTGCCACATTTGGACCACCCAGAACTTCTGCTCAGATCCAGGTACCTGGGAAAGCAGGGATCTGTGTTTAATGGCTTGTTAGTTTTTCCAGAACCAAGCCTAACTAGTATTAACTGGAACTGGGCAACATCAGTCCTGACAATAGTATCCCCCTAGGTAGCACAGTCCAGTTCTTATGGGGGAGACCAATTACAGTAGCCATCCATGATACTTTGCACTATATAAAATTAAAGATCATACCTGGCTGGTGTGATTCAGTGGTTGAGCGTTGACCCATGCACCAAGAGGTCACCAGTTCAATTCTAGGTCAGGGCACATGCCCAGGTTGTGGGCCTAATCCACAGTGGGGGGCATGCAGGAGGCGGTCAGTCAGTGTTCTCCCTCATCAATGTTTCTATTTCTCTCTCCCTCTCCCTTCCTCTCTCTAAAAACCAGTGAAGAGAAAAAAATTTTTTGAAAAAAAATAAAATAAAATTCAAGGTCACCATCAGCTTATGAATGGATAAACAAATGTGGTATATCCATAAAATAGAATATTATTTGTCAAGAAATGAAGTACTGACACATTGATGAACCTTGAAAGCATTATGCCCTGAAAGAAGCCAGTCACAAAGGACCTTATAGTGCATTATTCTGTGTATATGAAATGTCCAGAATAGACAAATCTACAGAGACAAAGTTAATTAGTGGTTGCTGGGGGGTCAGGAATGGGTAGTGACTGCTAATGTGTTTCTTTTTGGGAGTGATGAAAATGTTCTGGAATTAGATAACCGTGATGGTTGCACAACTCTGTAAACATACTAAAACCACTGAATTGTATACTTTAAAGGGTGAATTTAATGTATGTTAATTATATCTCAATATAATGTTAAAAAATTTCAAAGTCATTATTGGTATTTTCATGCACAATTCACACATACATGCACACAGGATACTTTGTTAGGATATTCTCTGCTCTTTGACATCTTAGTTCAAATATCACACCCTCAGCAAGGCCTACCCAGCCTATTCTATTTAAAATGGCAAGGCACACCCTGTCCCTGACTCCCAACCTCCCTCAGCCTGCCCCATCCACCCCCTCTCCCCTACCCCCACTGTGGCACTTATTACCTTCTAACATACAAAATAATTTGCTTATTTATTTTTGTCTCTCCTCCACACCCCACATACACACATGCCAGAGAACAAACTCTATAGTGGCTAGGACCTTGTCTTGTTCACTGACTTAGGCCAAGGCTGCCTGGCCCAGAGTAGGCACTCAAAAAATATTTGTTGCATGAATTAATTACTAAATTACTTAACAATAAGCTCATCATCATGTATCCCTTCCATTTTGCAGATATTTGGGGCAGCTTGTTAACTAACAGCTGCTTAGGAACACTGGACTTCATGGGACCAAAATAAATTCTGAACATGGAGTTCAATGAAAACCCAGATAAGGGCCCTGGCCAGTTTGGCTCAGCGGTTAGAGCGTCGGCCTGCGGTCCGGAGAGACCCGGGTTCGGTTCCCGCTAAGGGCACGTATTTCGGTTGCAGTTTGTCCCCGGCCCTGGTTGGTCGTGCGGGTGGCAGCCACTCGATGTGTCCCTTCACATCGATGTTTCTCTCTCTCTCTCCCTTCCTCTCTCTCCCTCCCACGCTATCTGTACAAAAAATGGAAAAATATCCTCGGGTGAGGATAAAAAAAAAAACCCAGATAAGGGTTAAAAAAGAAACGTGTTTCAATTTCTAAAATTTTGCTTCAAGAAAGATATGGTTGCCCTAGCTGGTTTGGCTCAGCCATTAGACCAAAGAGTCACAGGTTCGATTCCCAGTCAAGGGCACGTACCTCAGTTGCAGGTTCAATCCCTGACCCCTGTCGGGGTTCTCTCTCTCTCTCTCTCTCTCTCTCTCTCTCTCTCTCTCTCTCTCTCTCTTCCTCTCCCTCTCTCTCTCCCTCCCTTCCTCCCTCCTGCTCTATTTAAAGAAAAGAAAGATATGGTTAATAAGACACAGCCCAGCAACACAAAGGTAACATAATTTATCTCTCAGCAGTATAAAGCTGTTTAGAAATGGAGATATTTACTGAGTAATGAAATTTCACCAAAATCTGGCAGGCAGTAAGGAGAGACGGAAAAGAACTTCAAATAAAAGATAAGACCCATTGGCTAGGAGTAAGGACCGGATAAGCGAGCTGGATCAAGTGATAGGAGTAAAGAAAAGTAATGCACGTTCATTATCTTTCATGACACATCCCTAGCAGACCATCCTGAGTAGAACTTATCTTGTTCCTTTCTCTACTTATCAGACTCAGATGAAAATAACCAACAACAGGTGCATCAGCATCAGTTAAAGCTGCCAGACCTTTGGCAAATTTCATTGACTTAGGCCAAAAATCACACAAAATTTCAGGAAATTTTCTGCCATCAAAATTCTATTTCTATTATCAAGTAGGGAAGGGATCATCAGGGATTTCAAGTCTATAAACATGCTTTAGTACCCAAAGAGACTATATATATAATCCAAATACTTATGTGTGTGTATGTGTATATAGTGCTAAATATATACATATACATGTGTATGTGTGCTAAATATATATATATAAAGATATATATGTACAAAATAAAAACAGACATGGATATTCACTGCAATATTGTTTTTTGTTTGTTTGTTTTTTTAATCCTCATCCGAGGACATTTTTCCATTTTTTGTACAGTGTGGGAGGGAGAGAGAGGAAGAGAGAGAGAGGGAAACATCGATGTGAAAGGGACACATGGAGTGGCTGCCACCCAACGACCAACCAGGGCCGGGGACAAACTGCAACCGAGGTACATGCCCTTAGCGGGAACCAAACCCGGATCTCTCCAGACCGCAGGCGGATGCTCTAACCGCTGAGCCAAACCAGCCAGGGCTGCAATATTGTTTTTAATAATAACCTAAATGCCCACCAATATCAGATTAGTTAAATAAATTATAGTACAGCTATTTAATATATTATGGAGCACATATTAAATTGCCATTAAGAAGAATGAAGAAGCACTCTATGAACTTATATAGAATGATCTCCAATACATATTGCTACGTGAGAAAGATGTGCATATGGTATGCTGCAATGGGGATGGGTGGCGAGGAGACAATAGATACATGAAGGTTTGCAAACATTAACTATGTGTAGAAGGAGACATAAGAAACAAAAAAATGATTGCCATTGGGTGACTGGGAGGCAGGGAAAGGAGAGATACCTACTTTTTGCTGTGTAACCTTTGTACCTATTGAATTACCTACTCAAAGGTAATAAAATAAAATAAATAAACTAATCTGCTAAATCAATAGATGATAATATTAGTTTTCTATACAAAAGTATATTCATTCAATCAACACTGAACACCTACTATGAGACACTGGAATACAAAAAGGAATTGGCCTATAGTTGTGGAAGATGTTAGCATTGGGGGAATCTAGGTAAGAAGTACACAGGACCCCTCTGTAATATTTTTGCAGCTTCTTCTAATTTTTTTACAAATAGAAACTACATTTTTTAAAAATGGATTAGCCAGT